GGCCGCTGAAGCGGAGTGCACGCACTTAACCACTGTGCCACCGGCATGGCCCCTACCAAACTTTTTTTTTTTCAATTAATGGATTTATTTTTTAGAGCAGTTTTAGGTTTACGGAAAAATTTAGCAGAAAATTTTGACAAATGTGTAATGACATGTCTCTGCCAGACTAGTTTCACGGCCCTGCATATTCATGTGCTCCACCTGTTCTTCCCTTTGTCCCTTCCCCACACCACTGGCAACCACTGATCTTTGTACTGTCTCTAGAGTTTTACCTTTTTCAGAATTCTGTAGTTGGAATCATATAATGTATAGCCTTTCCAGATTGGCTTCTTTTGCTTAGTATGCATTTAAGGTTCCTCTGTGCCTTTTTGTGGAATGATAGCTGATTTCTTTTTATTGCTGAGGAATATTCCGTTGTATAGATATACCACAGTTTGTTTATTCACCTATTGAAGCACCTCTTGGTTACTGCCACATTTTGGATATTATGAATGAAGCTGCCATAAATATTTGTTTGCAGGTATTTTTGTGGATGTAGGTTTTCAGCTCATTTGAGTGAATGCCACGGAGTGCAATCGCTGGATCATGTGGTAAGGGTATGTTTTAGTTTTGTAAGAAACTGCCAAGCTGTCTTTCAAAGTGAGTGTACCATTTTGTGTTCCCACCAGCAATGGAGGAGAGTTAAACCCTTTTTTTTTTTTTTTTAAACTTCTGTTCTACTACCGTTTAGAAGATGCTAAAGTGAAAGGGAATATAGTATGTATAGATTGAGACATGACTACCCACATTATTGTGTTCATTGTATTCTACATTTGTTTCAGGTTTAATTCCTTCAGAAGGACTAATATCGTACTGCAACATTTGGTAAGTTTGGACTTTGTTTTGCTGGCCTTATTAGGTTATGATGTATAACTTAAAATGTCGTTGTTAGGGAAGTAGAAATACTGGCATGTTTTCTTGACCTTGGTACACTATGGTTCCCAATTTTATAGTGTCAAGACACACATAAGTGGTAGGAGGTGACGTAAGGTTATGGATAAGAGCATAGATCTTCAGGTCAGAATGGCTGGGTTTAACAATGGGTCCACTACGTAATCTTGGGCAGATTACTCAGTCTCTCTCAGCCTTCTTTTTTTGGTGTGTGAGGAAGATCAGCCCTGAGCTAACATCCGATGCCAATCCTCCTCTTTTTTGCTGAGTAAGACTGGCCCTGGGCTAACATCCGTGTCCATCTTCCTTTACTTTATATGGGATGCCGCCACAGCATGGTTTGACAAGCTGTGCATCAGTGCGTGCCCGGGATGCGAACCTGCGAACCCTGGGCCACCGAAGTGGAGCACACGGGCTTAATCGCTGCGCCACTGGACCAGCCCCTCAGCCTCCTTTTTGACATATATAAAATATGGATAATAGTATCCACCTGAGAGTGCTTATGGATAATAAATAAGATAATTCATTAAAAAATCTAGCATAGTGTTTGGCAAATAATAATCATTTTATACATGTTAGCTACAATTGTACTAACAGTACCCTTCCAAAGCTTAGGTGTCCTTAGTTTATCACATTGCAAGGAAGACATAATTTTTATTTTTGTATCTCTCTGCTGCAGACTGGATTTTTGTGTCATCTCCAAATTCCTATGTTGTAATCTAATCCCCAATGTGATGGTATTTAAAGGTGAGGCCTTTGGGAGGTGATTAGGTCAGGAGGGTGGAGCTCTTATGAATGGGATCAGTGCCCTTATAAAAGAGACCCTGGAGAGCTCCCTCACTTCTTCTACCTTGGGAGGAAGGACACAGTGAGAAGATAGCCATCTGTGAACCGGAAAATGGGACCACACCAGACACCGAATCTGCAGATCCCTTGATCTTAGACTTCTCAGCCTCTAGAACTGTGAGAAATAAATGTATGTTTTATAACATACGCAGTCTGTGGTATTTTCGTTTTAGTAGTTCCAGTGGACTAAGACACCCTCATACAGCCTGACAAGTACCTTGAGCAAAAAAGTGACAGGTCACTCTGATATAGCACTTACTGCATGCTAGGTGCTATTCCAAGTACTTGATATGGATTAGCTCAGTTGATTCTCATTAAAGTTCTATGGAGTAAAAACTACAGATCTTTTATCTGCAATTCTGAAACCTCAAAACTAAAAGTTTGATTGCCTGGCAAAATCTCAGCTAAACATACTTGAAGCTCTTATTGTCTTTATCCTCACTAGTGCAAATATTCATGGTTTGGTGCAGAAGTATTAAAGCATTTGATTACAGTGTACTGACCCAGACTCCACTTGAGGTGTTTTACATAGTATGTAATATGTACTGTGTTAGCTTTTGAAAATCTAGAAAATTTTCTGAATTCTGAAATGCATCTGGACCCAAGAGTTTTTTTTGGTTAAGAGATTATGGCCTTATCCCTATTTAATGGATCAGAGATTGAGGGACAGAGAGGCTAAGTAATATGCCCCAATGTCACACAGCTAGTAAATAGATGAGATTTGAATCCAGGCGATCTGGCTCCATAGACTTACCTTCTGCACTCTACAGCCTCTGGCAGAGTGGGCACTAAGTGACTATGCAGACTGTTTCTCAGGTAAGCCTAAGTAGAGATGGGCGTGTGAAGACTGGGATATCCTTTCCTACCCTTATCTATTTTAGTCAGCTGATATACATGGGGGCTGAGGAATTTCCTGGAAAAAGAACTTAAAACAATGTCAGTGATTCATATTTAGACATATGCACACAGATGAAATAGAAAGCCATAACAGAATCCAGATCACTTGGGGGCTCTGGTGACCTGGGGCGTAAACCACACTGAGGGAAGGAAGATAAACCTGACTCTCATCGACAGCCTGAGGACTGAGTGGTTCTAGGTCCCAATGTTGGTTTTTTACATGTACTTCAGAGATAGGCCATATCCCAAACAGTCCTTCTGTGACCCTTCTAAGAGAGCCAGTAGAGAGCAAGAGCCCTTTTTATTTCATAGTGGAGTGATGGAAATGTGGCATTGATGGCAGTATTGTAGGCAGACTTATGATTTGTGATAATAGTGTGACATTTCTTGTGACCCTTCCAAGATACTAGATGAAGAATAGAACCTTAAAAGGAGGCCAACATTCTGCATTTCTGCAGATGGGGTTTGTCAAGCTAATGCAAAGTAGTGGAAGCTATTAAGGAGGTGTCATTTGTATCCATAGCGGATCTGGAGGTATTTTTACTACAAAGATATTCACAGAAAGACTTCTTTCTCCATAATGTTCTATTTTAAACTCTTACACAGCATTTTAATTTAATGTGCAAAAGCTCATTTCTTCCACATAGTTTTGAACTGGACATGGAGAAAACTTCTTTTTTCTTTCAGAAAGTAGTTCTCTTCAGTATGAAAGTATACCGATTGGACTCATGAAATGATACTGCACATATTTTCATGACAGCAATCGTGTTCTTATGCTCTATGTCCAGATGATGATCTAGAATCAGTATCAACCAATTTATAATCTGTGCCATTGAACAGACATTTATTGTTTGTTTCGTGTATGCAAAGAACTTGACTACTTTGAAAATACTATTATGGAAAAGACAGTTCCTGACCCTAAGAAATGAATAGTCTAATGAAAGAGAGAAATATGTACTAATAAAATGTGGTAAAAAGGCCAAATACATAAATTAAAGGTGTGAACAAAGATGGGATAGGCTGATGTTGACTTTGAAACCAATGAAAGCTTACTGGAGGAATATAATTTATTTCGTCTGGGCCTTAAAGCATGATCAAGGGTTTCAACAAGTAGAGATGGGAGGTAGTGGAAGTTCATATAGTAACCCTAAGAGGTGATTCTGTTATCTCCATTTTACAATTGCAGAAATTGAGGCTCTGAGAGTAACTTGCCTGAGGGTGTATTGTAGTGAGTGGCAAAACTAATGTTTGGGTTCATCTGACTTCAAAATGTGTTTTCTTTCTATTACACAATATGCTTATTCTTTGGTGGCAAGAACTGCAAGATAGGAGAAAGGAGGTTACATTCAGGGCTTTCTGAGTATCCATTATAAGGAATGCAGTGAGTGTTGCAGTGGGCCGAGAGAGTTTACCTGGGCAGATGTGGAGAGACTTGAAGCCCATGTCAGGTAACTTGGATGTTTTTGAAGTTAGTGGGGAGTCACTAAATATTTTTGATTGGGAGTGACAAGATTAGAATTGTGCTGTAGCAAAATTTCTCTGATGGCAGTGTGAAGGATAGACCATTGGGCAAAGATTCTGGAAATCTGCAAAAAAGGAAAATTATAATGCTGTGTGGCTAGGGCAATGAGAATGGAAAGTAATGGATAGATAACAGAGTCATTTTAGAAATAAGATTCTTTGGTACTTGGTAACTGCCTCAAGTTGTTGGCAGAGAGGAAGGGAGAACAGGTAGAAATCAAAGATAAGACCAACATTTTGAGCTTTGTTGACTGAGAAAATGTGATGCCTTTAGTTGTGATGTGTTACCTTAGGGAACGGAGGAGGAGAGACAGATTTTGTGGAGAGAGATTTGTGGTAAATTTGGCTTTTAACAAGTTGAGTTTGGGGTGCCGTCTAGTGACTCCCATAATTATAGCAGGTACTTGGAAATAAGGGATTGGGCCTCTGGAGAAGTAAAGATATAGATGCAGGTTTGGACCAGCTGCTTAGAAGTAATAATTGAGGATGGAAAATAGGTGATATTACAAAAGGTGAGAAAACAGAGCCCAGCTAAGGACGATTTGAGAGACTCTCTAAACTAGTGCCGCGTGGAGGACTTCACTGACCCAGTTTGAAGTCAGGAAGGATTGAGTGAAGCTTGAGTAGTCAGCATTTATTAAATGTTTTTTGATCCTAAGAATCATACTTGTGCTTTGGTGTGTCATATTTGTGTTATAATAATTTAAATTTAATGGTATTCTTCAATATTGGCTAGAAATTGATGAAAATCTTAGTAGTAGGAAGGATATGAGACTGGATAAAGAGGAAAGTCAGTAAGATGGGTTAAAAGAAATCATGTTCTGCTAAACGTAGAATATTTCCCTGAGTATGTCTTTGAGTTGCAACCCTGTTCAATGGCAGTGGATGTTATATATCATGAAAGGTGTGTGCTTAAGATTGGGACTTGGGTGTCCACAGTGTAAAGCTTGTCTCAGGCTTGTGTTACAGCAGGACTGCATCAGTAAAATGATGGATTATTCATTCAATTTATTAAGCATTTTTGGGGTACCTGTTATGTACCAGGCGCTGAATTTTCCTCAATGGAAAGGTTCATTTCTCACAATGTTTTTATGAAGTCTCTAAAGTGTTTTCCAAAATATAGCCTGCAAAATGCAAGTCCCAAGAGAGATTCCATGAAAAAAAAAAGAAAGTTCTTCGATCAAGTAAGAAATATGCTGCTTATTGTATTTTAAAAGTTTGCATTGTGTATTTGCATGTTGAAGACTGCAAAGTCTTATAGGAATGAAACTTGTTTATATTGGTTTAAGTTTGTCCCAAACTGATTTGACCATGAGTTTTTTTCCTCCTTCCACGTAGCAGCAGTAAACATCTTTTTGTACACTTCGGGGAACGTTACTACTGTGGATTTTGCCAGAATAGTTCCGTGTTCCAGCAGAGTAGATATTCCAAGTTATGTGTGTCTCATGGATTTTATTTTGGCAAACTTCGTGCATTCAGTTCAGCACAAAGCTGTGTGTTGATGGTGTCCATACATTTTAGCAAGTTTCCTTCACATTTCTCCTTTGAATGGGTGGAAATAATGGGTTACCCAGTCATTACAGGAGTGGAAAAGGTTCTGTGGAGTGGGTGAAAGTAGGTGGGATTATATAGTTTGAAGAAGATAATTGGGAGAGTCAGTTTATGACCCTTAATAATACTTAGAGCATTGGCTTTGGAATGAGATAAACCTAGATTTGAATCCTGCTCCTGCCCCAAAGCTGTGTGAGGACAGGCAAGTAATTGAACTTTTCTGGGCCTTAGTTTCCTTATCTGTGAAAGGAGCTCCAGGTATTGAACTGATAAAGTTGTTTTGAGGATTAAGTGAAAAGTTTTTATGTCAACCTCTTAGCATAATGCCCATGGAAAACCTTAAATGGTAAGTTAAAATAAACAGTTTTTTCTAATTAAGAAAATATAAGCAAATGTGAACCTGTTGTCTTTCCTTAATGTCCAATAAAGATTTAAGCAAGCCTTAATTTCCACCTTAAATCTCTTTTCCTTCTTTAGAATATAATGGCTCTGGCTAGAAACACTTTGTCTTTTCTTTCTCTGTTTTCCTTACCCATTCTGTCCTCCCCCCGTCCTCCCCCCCAACACACACACACTTTGGATTATATGAGAAGTTCATTTCTGACTCTTGTCTCTATAATCTTTCCTAATATGATAAATTTCTCTTCATGGAAACCTTTTCTAGGTTTTAGTTAAGAGTTTGTGATATTTTCAGAAAAGAGGTTTAATTTTTCTGTAGAATTAATGAACATATATATAAATGAGGCTAATACTAGAGACTTCATCTTTTTCCCTTCTGTCCTTTTGCATGAATGGTTTTGATTAATGAACCAATAGTTGTTTTCAGGCTTTGAGAAGGCCCTGAATTTTTTAGATAGGAAAAAAAATCATTCTATTCATTCACTCATTTACATCATTCTATTGGCATTAACAGTAGAAGATTCCATAATAGTCTTTGGTCAAAGTCTGGCCCTCTGTAATTACATACTTGGCCTAAGTGCTCAAAGAGCCCTGCTTAAAGATATTCCTGCATCACCGTTAATAGCAGAAATTGGAAATTACCCAATGCTTATCAGTAGGGGACTGATTAAACTGATATTTAAGAATGCATAGCCGTTAAAAATAAGTGGGTAGCATGAGTGTGCAATCAGCAAAATTCATACAGGGAA